CTAGACTTAATCTTGGACGAAAATTGGTTTTATCTTGACCTAAGACACTTAAAAACATAAACTAAAGTGATTTCTAACTACTATGACTCAGCTAAGTAAATGGGGATTGATTTTTGACGAATTTAACTTTTAAAACAAAACCTTTAAGAACAAACTTTAATGAAAACGATTTTGATGAAATAGAATGGGGAAAGGCTAGTTAGAAGGTTCCTTCTCCACACATGAAACATATGCATACGACTCGATCTCCAATTACTCTTTCAACGAACCATGAATGACAATGCCCCAAATTAACTAGATTGACCAATTAACTCTCAAATTTCCCTAGATTCATTGAATTGAATGGGATACGCATTACAACCAAATTATTCTTATCAAGGACCCTAACTATGGAATACGCATGATAGAGACACATATCAAAGATCATTAAGTTCAATGGAAATCATAAGCATTGACGAGGCATTCATAACTATGGGATACGCATGTTACTCTTGCCTAGGATTTACTTAACACAATCGTGACTAGCGACTTTTACTACTTATGAATATAAGTTAATAACGATTAGGTGAAATTCCCTTATACTCTAGCATCAAATTCATGCATGTAAACTAAGTGTCGACCCTCAATCAACATACATAAACATGTTATCAATCAAATAGATAAGTAAACCACATTCGCGATTCATGAAATCATAATTGGAAGAAATCAAGTCATATAAAACATATGATCATGGCTTTGAATTCCCCTCTAACTATAAAGAAATTAGTTCCTCATGTTCGCAAATACACAAAGACAAATAAATTTAAACATTGACATAAAGATAGAAAACACCTAGAAACGCTCCACAATCCAAGCTCCTTGAATGGCATGTACGGCTCCAAGTTGTCTTCCTTCTTCTCCTTGCAAACTCACGGCACAAGAGGTATGAATGGTGAATGGTGTAGTGAAAATCTGGTAGAGGGTGGTGAGTGATATGTGCGGCAAGGCCTTGTATTTATAGGCTGAAAATCCCATCTCCTAGGTAGCAAAGGACAAGGTTTTAAAGGCCTAAATTGCATAGGATAATAACATCCAATCCTATAAGGAAAACAAGTCAAAAACCCAAAGGGATTGGGAGATAATGTGCAGCAGAAAGAGTGTGAAAAGATAAGGCTTCTAGACACCAAAAATCCCAAGGGAAATAGGAATTAGGTGCGGCAAGGATCTAGGGTTCTAGAAGGATAATGCAAGGCAGATTTTTAGGCTTCTAGAAAGGTTCTTAGGTGTCATCTTGATAGGATAAGATAAGGTCATCTAGAAATCCCATTTTAAGCATCCTAATCTAATTAGAAACCCTCCTAAGTGGCTGGAATGTGGATAGTTTAGGATAAGGATAAGATAGGATATGATAAGGTTTGATTGGATAAGATAAGCTAAGATAAGGTTATGGATGAGGTTTTGGATAATACTCCTTATCTTGAGCTGATTCTTTGGCTTTAATTCTTCTTCTTCATGTAGGAAACCTTGCTTGAGTAGGAAACTTCATATATCTAGGAATCCATCTTCAATTAGGACTCCTTTAGTGATTAGGAATCCCAATTCATTTAGGAATCCTTCATTCAAGTCATTTCCTTCTTCAACTAAGAAACTTTGTATCTTCAATTCTTCAACTTTGAAACGCCTTCCTAGCTTCACCAATTCCTCAAATTCGTCTATCCCTTGTGCTTCATGTGCATGAACTCCATTTTAGCCCAATTTTGCTCCAAAATGCTCCAAATTGCATCCTTATGCTCACTTTGTCTCTAAAACCTGAAAACACATGAAAATAGATTAAAAGACTAACTTTAACTAAGAAAACACAACATAAATGCATAAGAACTAACTAACTAAGGCGCATAAATATGCTCCTATCAACAGGCCAGCTGCTCATCCTAGGAGAAACGCATATGCCGATAAAGTGCCGCTAACTAAGATAATTCGAATTAATGGCATCTTCGTCGAATTTAAGCACTTAGGGGCCACCAACAATTCCAAGAAAAAGAAAATCCAGTGGGCTCTACTAGTTTCACAGGTCTAGGCAGTCAACACCCAACTTGGACCCATGGTTGGCTTCATCGAGCAAGATGCCTAAGGCGCCAACTTTCCACACAACAACGCACTAGTGGTATCTGTCTAACTAGCCCACATTATAGTCGACAAAATGATGGTTGACAATGGAAGTACAGTCAACTTACTTTAGCTCTCAGTAATTCAAAAGATGGACCTGGAAAACACAATCATACGCCAAACGGAGGTACTCACTGGATTCAACGAACACTCCTCGATTGTCATCGGCAACATTACACTTAACGTGAGAACACCACTAGTTGTCTTAAAGCAGATGTTCACAATGGTAAGTGACCCGTCTCTTTATAATGGGATTCAAGGACGACCTTGGCTGAGAAAGCTGGACGCCATAACCTTTGTCAAGTATCAAAAAATCAGACCAGGCCACATCTCAAGGATGTACTATGCTAGGAGTCAGAGAAATCAAGTTTGACCAGGCCACGTCTCGACGATGTACTGTGCAATACTGAATGATTCAAAAAAGAAAACCTTTACCCTTGTAGAGGCTACCGAGGTCCAAATGGATGACGAAGCTACCAAATAACAATTATAGAAGATGGTGTCCAAATCAATGCGCCAGCGGACGAGGCATGATGGAAACCCAAAGAGAATGCCGAGCACATCATTCTTGATCCCTAACAGCCGAAGGAAACTGCTAGAATTGGCTCACATTCGAGCATGAAGGAAAAAGATGAAGCTACTTGTCACAAGCTCAAGGAAAACATGATGTCTTTGCATGGTCACCTTCCGACATACCCATTATCGACCCCAAGATAACTTGTCACAAGCTGGACGTCGACCCCGCTGCTAAACAGGTGATCCAAAAGAGAAGATATTTCATACCCGAATGAGTGGTGATCATCGAATAAGAAATCGACAAGCTATTGGAGGTCAGATTCCTTCAAGAGGTAAGACACTCAGCATAGTTTTCCAACGTCATGCTAGAATGAAGAAAGAGAAGGGCAAATTGAGGGTTTACGTAGACTACACCGACCTTAAAAAAGCATGCCCAAAGGATCCTTATCCAGTTCCCCGAATCGATCTACTCTGGCTATAACCAAATAACCAAATAACCAAATAACCAAATAGCCATGCACGACCCCGAGTTCGTGATCGAACGAGGCACCTACGGCTACAAGGCCTTGCCTTTTGGCCTCAAGAACACGGAAGCCACTTACCAACGAATGGTGAACATGATGTTTAAGAAGCAAATTGGAGTAACCATGAAGGTCTACGTTAATGACATCATGGTAAAGGGTAACCAGCGATCAGACCACATCGACAACTTGAAGGAAACTTTCGACATCCTTAGAAAGTACAAGATGAAGCTCAATCTCCCCAAATGCACATTCGGAGTATCTTGAGGCAGATTCTTAGGGTACGCAATAACCCAACGAAAAATCGAAGCATATCCCAAGAAAATCCTAGCAATCCTAGAGATAAAATCTCAACTACCCTGAAAGAGATCCAAAGCTTGACCGGATGAGCAGCCGCGCTCAACCGCTTCCTCTCACGGTCCACCAATCGATGCAAGCCTTTTTTCAAAGCAATCAAGAGGGCACAATGAGACAAATGGGATGATGATTGCGAAAGAGCTTTCTAAGACCTAAAAAAGTGTCCTACATCACCTCCCTTACTATCAAATCCAGAAGCAGTGGATTACTTATACATTTACTTGGCAGCCTTGGAAGTAGCAATGAGCTCTACCCTCATACAAGAAAAACTGGGGGCCTAGCTGCCGGTATTATGCACTTCTAAAGCTCTTCTCGATGTCGAAACTAGATACCTGAAGATCGATAAATTAATTTTGGCACTAATAGTTGCGGCTCGGAAGCTCAGACCATATTTTCAAGCTTACATAGTCATCGTCATGTCTCAATATCCTCTATGATTAATCCTACATGGTTCAGACGATTCTCAACGAGTAATGAAATGGGCGTTGGAACTCAGCCAATACAACTTAGTTTACCGACCCCGAAGGCGATAAAAGCCCAACCCTTGGCAGACTTCATAGCAAAATTCACTCCTAGCCTAGACGACGTAAGAGAACGACCCAATGACGCCTCGAACGCAACATAGCAGCCCAGCGACGCCTGGTTTACCTGATGGAGATTTCTGGTATTTGCATGTCGACAGTGCATCCAACTATAAGGGCTCAGGAGCAGGCGTGGCCTTTATCACCCAAACGGTTAGATGTTCGAGCAGGCAATCACTTTAGGCTTCAAAACATTAAACGATGAAGCAGAGTATGATGCCGTACTAGCAGGCCTCCGAATGGCAAAAGACTTGGGGTTGAAAAAGCTTGTAATTCATTCTAATTCCCAACTAATCACCAGCCAGACTACTGGGGAGTACATGTCAATACATTCGATGATAGCGCAATACCTAGAGAAGGTACGAAAGCAACTTGAGGCGTTTCAAACTTACACCCTCACTCAAGTTCCGCAGGCAAACAACGCCCACCCGGAAGCGCTAGCCGGCTTAGGCTCCACCCTCAACCACCAACTCAAACACTCTATTCCGGTGGCATATCTAGACAAGCCAAGCATAATGGTGGAGCCAGCAGTCGAGGTGTCACATGTTAGTACAACTCCAAACTGTCAAGATTCCATTATAGACTACATGGTCAATGGCACATTTCCCATGGAAAGATTGGAGTCTAGAAAGCTCCACACAAAGGCGGCACATTACTACATGTGGAACAACATTCTTATCTGAAGATCCTACACTTGACCATATATCCGCTGCCTAATGCCTCCCAATGACCTAAAGGTTCTAAGTTCAATCCACGAAGGCATTTGTGGAAATCACTCCGGAGGCTGATCATTAGCACAAAAAGCTATTAACGTAAGCTACTACTAGTTTACCATGCATCAAGACACTAAAGAGTTAGTACAAAAGTACGACCATTGCCAATGCTAAAAGCCGATACCAGCACTACTTGCCAGCAAACGACACCCGCAGACGAGTCATTGGTCATTCATGCAGTAGGTAATCGACTTGGTAGGGCCAATGTCGCCCGCTACTAGGGGCAGAAGTATGATGATCGTGGCAACTAACTACTTTACCAAATGGGTAGAAGCAGAACCCATAACAACCACAACTCAGACGGACATAGAGCGCTTCATATGGAGGAACATCATTTGTGGATTTGACATCCCTCAATCTATCATCACAGACAATGGCTTGCAATATGACATTAAGCAGCACATGTCCACCCCAAGGTATCCCAAAGACAATGGGAAGATTGATGCATCCAACAAGATGATTCTCGACTACCTCAAGAAATCCCTCTCCGACAAGAAGGGAAAATTGCCAGATGAACTTCCTAAATGTCTATGGGCGTATCGCACAACCAAATGACTAGCAATTGGTGAGACTCATTTCTTCTTAGCATTTGGTTCAGAAGCAATCATTCCCCCAATGTCATCGTGCCAAGTATTAGAACTCTACTGCCAAGCATCGAGCAGAACGGAAATGAGATGGCCATAAATTTAGATCGGGCAAAAGAGGAACGCGAGAAAGTCATCACCCGCATCGCAGCCTACTAGCAGCAACTCATCTCCTGCTACAACAAAAAGGCCAAGATCTGGCAGTTCTAGCCCGGAGATCTAGTCCTAAGAAAAGCCTTCATCACTGCCCGTGAAGAAGGCTTTTAAAAGATGGATCCCATTTAGGAAGGTCTGTACAAGATTAACAAAGTAGGCGGTAAGGGTAGTTACACCCTTGCCACCATAAACGACAAATAGATCGAAAAGTAGTGGAACACCTACAATCCGAGGAAGTACTATGCGTGACACATAGACCTGCTGAAGAGATCGAAAAGTAGTGGAACACCTACAATAAGGAACAAAACATTTCGATCTATGCGTGACACATAGATCGAAATGTTTTGTTCCTTATTTATTGATTATTATTCGGAAGAGATATTAATTCTGAATAATTTGATCGCATATGAATCAGGTTTAAGGGGTGGGGTTCGAAAGTTTCACACAGACCTGCTGAATATCTTGCTTTTACTATATGGTATAATGACACTAATTTATTTTAACAATAATGCTATTTAAACATTCTAATTATCATAACATTAATGATTTCCTTTCTATCTTGCAGTATCACGGTGGTACAAATTATGGCCGTAGCGCAGGAGGTCTATATATTACGACATCATATGATTATGACACACCATTGGATGAATAAGGTTAACATTACAAGAACCAAAACTTAGTTTAACTTTTAGTTGTATTTGTTCAGACAAATATAATGATTAATTGTATGAATGTTAAACTTAGTTTAACTTTTCGTTGTATTTGTTCAGACAAATATAATGATTATTGGTATGAATGTTTAAATAATAGGCAATTACAATCAACCCAAATGGGGTCATCTCAAAAAGCTTCACGAGGTTCTTAAATCAGTTGAGGAGGCTCTCACTTATGGCGTTACAGAAAATTATCAATATCCAAACTTTGTTGATGTAAGTCGATCAATCGTTTTTGTGTCGATCGATGTTTTCCAAACTGGCAAACTATATTCTCATTGTATTTTATCTAATCTATTTTGCATTGCAACATACAGGTTCAATTATATAGCTACAACGGACAAGATGTATGCTTCATGGGTAATGCCCACGAATCATACGATGCCACCATTAGTTTTCGAAATAGGGAGTACTTCATACCTGCGTGGTCTGTCACCATTCTTCCTGATTGCGTTAAACCAGTTTACAACACTGCACACGTATGTTTCCCTACGTATACTATGTTATGTCTTTAGATTATCAACTAATCATTATATATGTTAATATAATAATGATGAAACATGACTCACTAATTTGAATTATGTAATCTTTTGCAGGTTAATGTTCAAACCTCCATAATGGTGAAGGAGCACAACCCTGGATCTTTTGGACAGGAGGAGCCTTTAGTGTTGGATTGCCACTGGAAAAATGAGCATATTGAGAACTTTGAGAGAAGTGGTCCTCCTCGGGGAAGTATTTTGACTACTAACAAATTATTGGATCAGAAAGTTGTAACAAATGACACCAGTGATTACTTGTGGTGCCTCAGCAGGCACTAATTCTCACACCTTATATTTTATTCCTCATTCCTTTTGTTTTTTGTTTTTAATTTGCATGTTTTCATATGTACTTTTGATTTTGTTTTAGATTTAGTTTGTCATAAAAGTTTGATTTTAGTATGAGTAATGCTATTTTGACGCATACAGTTATTTGCACAAGCTCATGCGGTTTCAAATACAATACTATAGTCCGACTTTATTAGAGTATTATTTTTTTACGTCTAAATAACATGATTGTTTTAGTGCTCTACAATAATTCTAATGATACTTTATGTATCCTACTTGAATGGCAGGAACCCAATATGCTCAAAATGGACAGTACTCCTTCACCTATGAAATAAGGATCAACTTAAGGAAAGGGAAGAATTATTTGACTCTATGCAGTTCCACTGTTGGACTCGCAGTAAGCATGAAATTGATACTTCATGAAATCAAAAGAGAATTAATTAATAATCTGTCAAACCTTGTCATTCTTTTTTGATTTCTTATTGTTTTTTACCTTGATTAATTTATTTATTTTTACAGCATTCTGGTGCATACTTCGGTAACGTCCCCGTTGGGATTAAGGGTGTTCAAATTGTGAATGGTAGTGATGGTACGGTGACAAGAGATTTAAGCACAAACCAATGGGTGTACAAAGTTGGATTGCTAGGTGAAACCACAAAACTCTTTGATGTTTCTAGTCTCTCGGATGGTCATAGTTGGCGTACAGAATTGCTTTCAACTAGTGAACAGTTTATTTGGTACAAGGTACAATTCTCATACATCGATTTATCTCGGCCTTGAATTTTATCGTTCTCTCATCACATATCTGACGGTTTTCTTGTATTACATTATTTTTCGTTGCGTATTGTCTTTAATTAGACAAACTTCAAAACTCCACTCCTTCCGGACCTTGTTGTGGTGGATTTGAAGGGTATGGGCAAGGGCCATGCTTGGGTGAATGGCTACAGCATTGGAAGGTTTTGGTCAAGTTACAAGACAGAATGTGATGATACTTCGAGTTGTGACTACCGTGGAGCGTATGGGGCCGACAAGGGTGCAACTAATTGCGCAGAATCCACACAAAAACGGTAATCAAATCAATATTCATTAGAAAACTAGATATTCATCCTTAAATAAGAAGTTTAGAAAAGTCTTATACAAGATTAAAAATTTGATTTAGTCCCTAAACTCTATTTAGTGTCACCATATGCATTCACTGTCTTTTAAAAAAAAAAAATTATGGTGTCCATGAATTAAATTATATGAAAAATATTGTAATTTTAATACACATTTGAATTCAAATGAATTAGCTCTTATTTGTTGACATTTTGCATCACCAATTTCCAGTAAGTATCTTATATAATCTTATATAAGAAAATATTTTGGTAAAGACATTTTGTTACACTAATGTTTTTGCACATTTTCTTATGTGCCACAAATTTATTACACTATTTAGGTACATACATTTTTCGATACACTAGTTTAGTATAATATGTTTAGATATGAACATTTCAATATACTAGTTTAGTATAATATATTTAGCTATGAACATTTAGGTACATTAGTTTAGTATAACTGTTTAGGTACAGACTTTTCGGTACACTTATGTTTTTGCATATTTTCTTATGTGTCAATTCATTATAATATATTTAGGTATAGACATTTTAGTACACTAGTTCAGTAAAATATATTATAGTACGGATGTTTAGATACACTAATTAGATGAGTTAAACAAAATTAATGAATTAAAATGTGTATATTAATAAATTTAAAATTTAAGTGGAGACCTTAAATAAACTATACATAAATATTAAAACAAAAGCATTATAAATTTGAATTAGGTAAACTAAAAAGGACTAAACCAATATGTAATCTACCATTATGTTTATATTGAATTTTAATCTTCTTGAAGGATTAAAGCTCATAAATCCCTTATATTTATTAACTTATGTTTATTAATAACTATTAAAATGCACGTGAAGACTTGAACTTGAGACATCTTTTAATATTTTATTTTCATCTTTGATTGAAAATATTAGGTACCATATTCCACGACAATATCTCTACGACGAGGAGAATTATGGGTGGGCAAACGGGTAGAGGAACCGCGGGTCGGGGCAGGTAATGTAGGTTTAGGGCGGGTATGGGCTGGTTCCAAATGTTTTAGAAAATAAACGGGGCGGGCCGGGCCAGGCCCATGTCATTTATGGGGCGGGCCGGTTCCTAAACCCTAGAAAAACAGGGCCCCAGACCGACCCATTTCTAATTATAATCAACCGGTCGAGATTGAATGATAACTTATCATTCAATCTGAACCGTTAGTTTGTACCCTAGTCTCACTCACTCATTACCTCAACTCCCTCGACGCCGCGACCAACACAACCCATCTAGCCATCCTCCGACCTCAACGACATCCCAATTCCCAGGACCCAGAAAACCCCCAGGTCCCACAACCTCGATTCTCTCCTCTTCGACAACACCACCGCCGTTGTGACCACCATCACCCCTCATCATTGATGTCGAGGACACTGTGCGACCAGCCTAGATTCTTTTACTTACCCGGCTACCGGTAAGTCTACTTCTTCAAAAATTGAACTGCTGCTAGCCTATGTGGATCTGTTAGGTTAGGATTGTGGATTTGTTAGGATGGTATTGAACTGCTACTAGTCTATGGGTGAAGGAATTGTGGATCTATTAGGATGGGAGTGGGATTTGGGATTTGAGATTTAGGGTTTGTGTTGGGATGTGTTTGGTTATTGATGATGAAACCCTAGAAACGAAAAGCTAGGTCAGCTGGTTGCGATTGGGATTGGGATTTCAATCTAAGTAGGCAATTTTGAATTTAATTGATCAATAACTGGGTTTTCAGATTTGGGTTTTTTTCTTCTTCTTGTTTTTGTTAAGGTTTCACGTATACTTATTCTGCTAGGTTCAACATTTCATGCTTTCTGTCACTCGAATGTTCTTACAATTCTAAAACAAATTCAGATGAGTAAAAGAAGCCACAATCAGAAAGACTTAAATCAGTCATAGTAGATTTCTTTTCTTAACCAAAATGATATAATTCTAGAGACAATAATAGCACAAATAAATAGCACATCATCTTGAAATATAACAATGGATATTTGATTAATATAGTGAACTATCTTGTGATACATACGAACTACGAAGCATAGATAAGGATATTGTTACGGTGTGATACAAATTAATGTTAGTGCGTAATGTTTTAGTGTGATCCACTTAAAGGTCTAATTAGTTATGCATATATAGCAACTATTTGATAAGTTTGGCATATAAATAACCATATCCACTGGAGTTATGCACTAAATAAGACCACAGATGTGGCACATTCATGTACTAATCATAATGTACAATTGTCAATGTGGAGACTCCTAAATTGTTTGTTTCATGTTTATACTATCCAAGCCTTCATGAACTACGATCTTGTTTCTAAAAGACTTCAAACTCAAAAGTTGAAGAATAAAACAATAAGAAAGAGGTTGCAGTATGTTGCATACTTGCTTCTTAACTGTATTTAAGCTTGCCTCAATTGTATCACTTTTTTTTCAGGGCACGAGTGCTCCTTAACAGCTCAGTACAAAGATATCATATCTCAAGTGCTGGACACATATCCACTGATGATTCGTCACTTATAACAGCTTGGTACAAAGTTTCACTGCCCCTACCTGTAACATACTTATAGCTTGTAGTTGTACTTACACCCGTTGATATTTATGAACTTTTGTTTAATAATATATTTGTACTTACAACTCAATACAAGTTGCTACTAGGTTATGTTTGATGCATTTGAAATGCTATTCGTTTATCTTGAAGAGTGGTTAGTAGGTCAATTCCTTTATTCTATTGTTGGATATATATATATATATATATATATATATATATATATATATATATATGTGTGTGTGTGTGTGTGTGTGTGTGTGTGTGTGTGTGCAGTTTTGAATCTGTACAGTTTTGTGTAGTTTTTGCTTCTTCTATGTTGTGCATTTATGTGTGTTGTGCATTTATGTGTTGTGTGCTGAGCTTAGCTATGTCTGTTTTGATTACTATATGGTGGGAAAACAGTGAACGTGCTTCTTCTTTGTTTTGATTAGTAATTGGTGTGCATATTTCGAAATATCTTTATTTGATTAATGAATATACTTTCATTATTTAATTTTTACATATTTTTACATAATGTCTCAATCTCAAAGCCAAAGTACCCCTAGTACTAATGTAGCATCAACTACGGCTACATCACCATCACCATGTCCTCCACAACCACCAACACAAGCACAAGCCACACAGTCAAAATCAACAATGCCTCCCCCAAAACCCTCATCCTCCAAAAAAAGAAAAGCACCACCTATTCCAAAGACAAAACAACCAACTATATTAGCTACGATAGAGAGATCTTCTTCTAAGAGATCTTGGGTTTGGGATCATGTCACTAAGTGTATCATCTCAGAAATACAAGAAGTAGAAAATGATGGAAAGAAAGATGGCGGATGTACAAGTATTGAAGGCTAAGTGTAACCATTGTAAATCCCTTTTTGCATGTGATACTAGTGGGGGTGGAACTAGTACTTACATTAAACATATCAATAAACATTGCAAGTCATATAAACCAATTGATGAGTTGCAAAAGGTTCTAGGCAGTTCTGGACCTTCTGGGGACGTTAAAAACATGGTTGTTGCTAAAGGGTGGAGCCAAGAAGAGGCAGTGGAAGGTATTGTTAAGTATATTGTGATCGACAAGGTAGCTTTTAGTTATATGGAGAGTGAGGGGTTTAGGCGGATGATGTGGAAAGTTTAGCCTAAATTGCATGTTCCATCTCGGAGAACTATTGTGAAGAATTTATTCACTATGTATGATACCATGAAAGATCAGTTAAAAAGGGAGTTACACAAGCATAGAGTGAGCTTGACTACTGATACATGTACAAGTGTGCAAAATTTGAACTACATGGTGCTAACTGCTAATTTTGTGGATGATGAATGGAATATGCACAAAAGGATTCTAAACTTTTGTTTGATTTCAAGTCATGAAGGCAAAGAAATAGGGAAGTTGATTGAGCAATGTTTGGTTGAGTGGGAGATTGAAAATGTGATGTGTATTTCAGTTGACAATGCATCAGCTAATAAGGTGGCAATTGAGTATGTTGTTCGTAAAATGCAGAAATGGCCTAATACTAAAATGATTATGAATGGAAAGTTTATGCATGTGAGGTGCTTAGCTCATATTATCAAGTTAGTAGTGAAAGATGGGTTGAAAAGATTGGATACGAGTGTGGATGCTCTTAGAAATGCCGTGTAGTTTTTGAGATCAAGTCCCCGAAGGTTTAGTTATTTCAAGAAATGTTTGGAGAATGAGAAGTTGGATAGTAAGGGTCTAGTTGTTATGGATTTGCCTACTAGGTGGAATAGCACATACATGATGCTAGAATCTTGCTTGAAGTTTAAAAAAGCATTTGAAGGGATGTACGAAGATGATGAAGCCAATATATACTCCACCTATTTCAGGGAAAAGGTGCTTAATGATGAAGGAGAATAAGTGGCGAGTAAAGGGAGGGTTGGACCACCTAAGGAGGAAGATTGGGATGGTGCATAAGTGTTTATGAAAATTTTGAAGGCCTTCTATTTTGTAACTTTGAAAGTTAGTGCAAGTAAGTATCCCACATCTAATATAGCTAGCTGTTCATGATGTCATTACTGTGGAGAACGAGATTGAAAAGCTTTTTTTGTCTGAATATATGCAAACTGGAAGAACTGTAGAGTTGGTGCTACGTGATATGGCAATGAACATGAGAGCCAAATATCGAAAGTATTTTGGTTCAATTGAGTCCCTTAATCAAATATTTGTAGTTGCCCTTGTCTTAGACCCAAGGTTCAAATTAAGGCACTACATGCACTTGTGTAGAAAGCAATTACAGCTTCCTGAGGAAGAGATTGAATAGAAAAGTAATGAAGTGAAGACATTGTTGAAGGCGATGTGTGATGAATATGCTCACCAAGCGTTCGGTTCACAAACACAATAAAAGGGTAGAGAAGATTTAGTTGTTGACACTTCTTGTTCAAGGGTAAAACAATCATCTTCTAGTGTGGCAACGAAAAATCCAATGATATTTAGTCAAATGATGCATGATTGGGAGAAGGAACTAGAAGACACCGAGGATATTGAGCTTGCACATGAGGTTGATAGGTATCTCCTTGACACTTTAGAGAAAGCACCACATGGTTCACCATTTGACATTTTGAAATGGTGGAAGTTGAAAGGGAGGAGCACATATCCCATACTTGCTTTGATAGCCAAAGATGTGTTGTCAATTCAAGTGTCAACAGTTGCCAGTAATTGACCCATTTAAATCATCTCTCCTTCCTCAAACAGTGGAGTCATTGATATGCCTCCAAAACTGGTTAAGAAGTGAACCAATTAGCAACATTGAGTATGAAACAAGTCCGACAGAGGTTGAATTTTATCAAGAGTGTGAAGAAAGTAATTATTTTGTTTTGTATAGTTTGGTTTATAACTTTATATTAATTGGTTTACAATTAACGTGATTTTGTTCTTTGTTGTAGAATATAAAAGAAAAAGAGCAGCAGCAAATACTATATCTACAACTACAACTACAAGTTCAACAATCTCACCAAGTGTTCCTGAAATTGAAGCTCCTCAAACAACTCGAACGAATAAAGGAAAAGGAATTGCGGTAATATTTAAGAGAAAATTAGGTTCACATCCTTCTTTTTGTTACTCCATTGATTAAAATCCTATTCATTTTGAATTTTTGATCAAGGTCCTTGGTATTAATAACATCATTAATTATTTGAATAATAAAATATTTTTATTTTTAAATATATTCCTTTAGTGTTAAAAATGTTACAATTAGTATATTTATATTTATGGCTAAATGTTTTATCATATATTTTTATTTTTAGTTTGTACCTATTTTTAATTTGCAAATATTTTTTAATTTGTACCAATTTTCTTTACATTTTTAATTGTCCCATATATATATATATATATATATATATATATATTTTTTTTTTTTTTTTTTTTTTTTTTTTTTTTTTTTGCACCCATATTTTTTAAAGTTTTA